AAAAAAAAAAATGCTTTCAATGAAAGAGTATGAAGGAATATCACCGTAATTATTGTCGCGAACCAGTACTGTCATATCCTTTGATAATCATTGCATACATTAATATACTCTATTTTCATTAATTATTAAAAAGAGATATACCCGGATGGAACACAAGAAATATTTCAAAAACAATGATTGCTAGTCATCAAATCAATTAATTCATTTAAATTCGATCAGCTCCGTGAAAAGTGGCATAATCACTGTCCAACAAAGTAAAGCAAGAAATTTCTAGTGATTGTAGTTTTTTTTTTTTTTTCCATCAATGTGAAACGGGTATTCCTAATCAAAATTACTGATGAAATATTGAGAATTTATAGAAAGGACAAAATCCTTCGGGGTAATTTTACAACAACATCTTTCTGAATATCGATGGAAATTTTTCGCTGAATGTTGATAATAAGTTAAAATAATTTTAATTATACTAAATAAAAAAAGGAAAAGATAAAGGAATAATAATGAGAGGAAAGAGACGCGCAATTGTTACATGATATTGAGAGGAAAGAGGAGCGCAATTGTTACATGATATTGAGAGGAAAGAGGAGCGCAATTGGTACATAATGAAATTCAAGCAGATGAACATTCAGAAAACGATACATTAACGAAACCTTCTTTAATTATCTCTTTAAATATTAATTTCATCTGTTTTACTTATTTCAACTTTTTAATCGTATTAAGTAAATGTTGATAAAACCATATGAATCATTTCTTATAATATCCAATATACAGTATAATTGGAAGAAGAACAGTTGCAATGATAACTTTTCGTGATATTTGAATAATCCAAATATTGATTGTTGAGGAATTTGTAAAATCAATTCCAGAATGATTAATCTGTAAATCTAACAAACAGATAAGCAAAATGATTAGCTTATCAGTTAGCTTATAAATTACCATAAAAAATAGCTGAAATATGTTGCTGGAAGTAGTAATTTCCCTTCTACCACGTAATTTGTATTTTTTATTTTTATTTTGAATTCAATTAAAGTAAGCGAACAAAAGGTAGGAGAAATAAAAAAAGCAGAAAATGATAAACTTCTTTTATTCGAATATTTTAACATTCAGATAAATTCAATTTTGCTGTAACTTCACAAATGTGATCAGTTTTGCGAGAAACGTTGAGCAGATAGTTTTAAAATTCATTTCAAAAGTTGACCTTTGGTATGTCTTAAAATTCATTACAAAAACTGACCTTTGATATATTCGTTTCTAACAGAAATATATTTATTTTTACATAGTATTTAACCATATTCCAAAATGCAAAGTAAGCAAAGTATTAAATTTCAAGCTTTGGTGTTAAATCAGTTTTTTATTACAGTTAGTGAATTTGGCGAGTTAACTGAAGTGGAAAAGGTCATTTCACAATTTTTAAAAAGAAAATAAAAAGGTAATAAGTTAGTTTAAATTAGCAAGTTAAACAATTTGAGCTAACATAGGCAACAGATTATGAGGACAGTCATGTCGTCTGTGAAGTTGAACATATTGCAAATTTTTGTTAAGTTTAACTAAACGGCTTTTCAAAAGAGATCAGATTCATTTTACGATAATTTCATTTCACAGAAAAAAACATCACATTAAGAACTTACATACATTGTTATAAAGGTTAATGGAGGAAAGAGAGATCGTGGACAAAACAAGAGTATTAGATATTAAGGTTTAAAATTTTACAGAGGTGAAGGTATTGGAGTTGATATTGTCAACGGTCTCATCTGCATCATGTTTCATCATATCCAACGACAATGGAACACTTCACATCACAAATCAGCAATGATTTTACTTCAAGGCAAAACTTTTCTCGTAATTCATGAAAATTTCGTAGTAAATTTCCTGTTTCCTACATTGAGTGACCTCGGTATAAATTTTAAGAGCAATTACATACAGTGAAATTAGGCCATTCATTCTTTTATCAAATATTTACAATGCTTTGTTGAAATTACTTGGAATAAAAATCCAACAAAATTGTTATTAATATGAGACAAGGATGGATAAGTCATGACAATACCTAATTGCTAGTAAGTTTTACGAGAATAATTTAAACTAAATTTTCTCATAAAGCTAAATTTTTCATGTCATCTGTGGCTTCTATTAGGCTTATCATTTATTGCTGTCACAACTATTTTTTATCATTTAATTGTTTTCATGATCATTCAACTATTTTAATCATTTTAATTGCCGAACTAATAATGTAAATTTAAATTAGAACGTTTGATAAAAATTATTTCGTTAGTGTAATTTATTGATAAATATTCCAAAATTTTAAATTCATACTAAAGCATTTGCATACTTTTTCCCATATTACAGGAAAAATAAGCTTTCGATATTACCATGCTTAATTAGCTATTACTTTAACTTTTCATACATTCATTTCAACTGTTATACATTGATGCAAATGATGTATAATGGAATATATTGATCATCATGTCTATTATCTTTGTTTGTATACTGTAAATAATTCAATGTCATCTACATGACATCCAACAATTAGTATGACAAGACATATTGTGGAACTATCATTGCATCACCAATTTTTGCATATATTTTTAGATATGCATTAGATTAAACTAATTTTCAGTAAAATAGTCAAAATAAACATATAAAAATTTTTTAAATACTTTTCCCTTTTTTTTTTTTGAAAAGATAATTATTTCAAGAAAGAAAAAATAAGCATCAAATGAAATCAAAGTATTTCATCACAATCATATTATTATCATATCATCCACTTAATTTGTAATATAATGGAAATACAATTAAACTAAAACTTATAATAACAATCCTTTTATGTGTATGTTTAAATAATAGGAATGAGTTTAATTTTTCAAACATTCTTTTTTCTTTAAAACATTTTACACTGCTCTATTTTATATTATTACACTTTAATGTGACATGAATCTTTGTACTATCTAAAATACAGTATGAGAACATTTACAATGTGAAAAAATAATATATGAAAATATATCCATTATATATATCAATATTAATCTTTCGTTTAATTCATCAACAGTACTAACTAATATTTTAATATACAATGATTTCCAGTAATTCATGAGACATTGAATTTCATCATGTTATATTGTGTATTCGGAATAGGTAATAGGAAGTGTTTATTTCTCAAGGAAGTATAAACAATTATTAAACGGTTATATTAAAATTTTTCTAAAATT